ACGAAGGGGATATGACGCCATTGACAGGCGACCAGTGAAATGCAGCGTTACCTGAATAAAGTGACAAACATTGTTGGAAACATTTGGGATAATATAAGGACTCAGCTACATACAGAACATAAGTCTAGAGTTTATAGACATATTTAATGCAGAAACCCGACGTTCTCTCGTTCTGTAATTTTAAAAACAGTCGGGATGTAAAATGTAGAAACCGGGAAGAGTCTTTCAGAGCAGCTCGACCTCGTTCACAGGACACCAGAGAAGTGAAGCCGTGTCACCAAACACTCTGCAAACATTAATAATAAAACGCCGGTGGAAACCACTCTCTCTCTTTCTCTCTCTCTGTTTCCTCCTCTCCGGTTTCTCCTCCTCAGAGCAACACGTCGGACGCCTGCGTTCAGACCCGGCGGGAGTCCGACAAGCGGAGCTCCAACCTGGACCGCCGGCGGGCTCGGTCCGCCGACCTGGAGAAGATGAGGTCGCAGCTGGCGGTGGTGGACGACCGCTGGATGACGGAGTACATGCGCTGCTTCTCCGCCCGGCTGAGGTAGAGACCGGGGATCCAGCCAACCTCCCTCCCCCCCTCCGAGAGAAACCCCCCGAAACCGTTATTGGGGAGCCGAGAACCAGACGGTGGAACGAGGGGGTCCGTGGTTAGTTCGGCTGAGAGGCGACCTGAAAGCCACGTTGTCTCGTTAATTCATCAAAGCAGAAACATAAAGTGGGCAGAGCTTTAATTTAACAGAAACAATCACATTTAATCTCTTTTATTTGGTCTGAATGACTCTAAAAACTACATTTCCCATAAGCCTCAGCGGGTTTTTTTTATGGAAAAGGGACCAGTTTACTCAGAAATACAAAAAAATGTTTATTTAGACCAATATTTTAACATCTGACATATATATATATCAGCCAATATTTTTACCTGATGTAACCCCACCCACTTCACGTGGCGTCCTTTTATGATGACGAAGTAACGAGACGACGGGAGGTGTTTTCTTGTCGTTTCAGTGACGTTTTAAGAGTGAATCGCTGCTGTGGAGAATAAAAACACACTCTTGTTGAATTATAATTCATCCTGATATTATTTCAAACTTCTCTTAACCTTTGCATTATTAAGACTTTAATATAAGACTGTTAACATTTAGAAGAAGTGTGTTTTTCACCCGACAGCAGCGATACAACAATCAGTTCCAGATGTGACGGACTGAAGTATCTTTCTGTTTCTGGAGTTTGATAATGAACAAACTTTCAGAGAGTTAATTAAATTATTTTTTTGTAAAAACATCCAGATCACAGTTTGAATGTATTTTAATTTCTTTACTTCAATTTTTAACACACATTTAAGTTCAGTTCTCTTTCTCAAAGGCAGCTGTGTGTTTATAACTTTTGAATCAGAGGCAGCGGGAAAAAAAAGGACCAAACTGGAGTATTTTTTATATCTGAGTGCTTTGGATCTACATATTTGACTTTTTAGATGAGAATAAACTACATTAGACACAAGATTTATCAAATAAAATTAGAATTTAAGGTATTTTCAGAGTAAAATCTATATTTAAGCTGTGCTACCTTTATAATAATGTCAGATTTTAGTTTGTTTTTGCACTTCGAGATGCAGCTTCTGCTTTATATTGATTTTAATCCCAAATAATCTGCATACATTAAATGTATATTCCTTTAATTCACCTGTAGGACCAACGAATAAAAAACGTAACTTCTCGGGGCTGATTAAGATTAAATAGGTTTTAAATTATAACGTTGTGAGTTTAATTAAAGTGCAGCCTTGTAATATTGTTTAATTTATGTTGGTTAAAACAGCTAAAGCTTCGTTGTTTTTATCAGAAATCTTAAAATCCTGCAGTTTTCTTAATCGGGAGGCGAATAAATAAACACATTAATAAGCTTTTATGAAACAAACGTTTAGGGGAAAGAGCAGAGGGACCATTTAAAGCATAAAATGTTACGTATTTAACAAGTGCAGCGGTTATTAAAGGACCAGTGTGTTGGATTTAGTGGTGTCTGACGGTGAAACTGCGGACTGTAGATAAAATCAGTTTGTGGTTCCCAAACTGAGGGGTCGGAGCCCCACTAGTGGTCGCCAAAGCTTCACAAGGGGGTCGCGAGGCCTTCTTGACTTTAAAAATATATGCTGTAGGCCGATATCTCAGCATTTTGTTCATTTCTGTGAAGGAAACTGAAAGAAATTGTTTGCTTAGACTGTTAAAAACAAAAATACAGACAGAGAATATCAGGAAAAACTCAACATCAACCGATCAACATTCACTGGAAATAATCTGCTCAAAATTCATCCAAAATCGCTCGTTTTACACAAACTTCCTGTTGTGTTCACCGTTTGGGTTCATTGTGCAGTTGATCAGATATATAAAAATATCCATAAAATATGATAGAAAACACAACAATGATTATGCTCTAATGAAAACATACCTGTTAATATTATATTATGCCTATAAATCCTCCTGAATGTTGCACACTGGAGCTTTTTAGTCAGAAGTCATGAACTCACTAAATTGATCACAAAACAGGATTTTAGGTGTTTTAATGACGTTATATTTTACAAATTTAGTATTTCGGTGGTTTCGTTTCCAGTGGTAATAAACAAAAATAACATTTGTATAGAAATTAATGTGCTGGGTGTAAAACAGTGAAAAGATAAATGAGTATTTAATTGGGTTGAAGTTGAGCCACATCAATAATTTACTCCAAAATATAGAACCGTTATTAATTGTGAATTATATTGATCTGTAAAAAAATACATTTATCACATTTTTCAGCTTAAAACCCTGAAATTAGTTTCAGTTTGTTGTTTATATATATTAAAAAAGGGAATGTAGTTTAAACTTAAAAGTTTTATTAGTCTGTTTGTCGTAATTAAAGATTGTAAACACACGGCGATGTCATCGTCGTGTCCCGTGACACTGACACCGAGGGCTAACGTTCACGAGAAAACTGATTGTTTTTTTTAACACCGTCTGAACCTCGTCACTCTGAATGTGCACAACTATTTATTTATTTATTTCTCACCAATATTTTAGATGTTTCGTGCATCATTCGCCCCCAAAATTCAGCCTCGTTATCGTAACCGTTGACGTCTTCGGCTGAGATTTAGAGTTTGAACGATGTTTGGGGTTATTAGAGAAGTAAAACGTGTAATTTGAATTATGTTTTAAAGAGATTTCTACGTTTAGAAATAACCGTGAGACCTCATCTTTCAAACAACCACGCAAAACTTATAAAAAAATATCGTACTATAACGTGATAATAAGACGACTTTGAGAAAATGTCTCAGGTAGAAAGATGCCGACGTTCAGATTAAACTGTGCTGAAGTTGAAGTGGTTCGAATGGTTTCTGTTTGTGGCGTTTAGATTTATTTCTCAGAACATTCAGACAATCACAGAAAAGTATTTGTTCTGTTGTTGAGCAGAAAATCTCATATTTAAGCTAAAAAAAATAAAATAAGCTATTTTAAGTGAGCGCTGCTGGAGAAAGTGACTTATCTGCTTGCTGTATCTCAAGTTTGAGTTTGTTAAGAACAAGATATGAAATGTGAATCACACGTTTGAATATTTAATCATTTTCAACCTCGTTTACATTTGTTTTTGGGAGTCACTGTATTTGTATTTGAAAACGTGCACAATTATATATTTTCATCCACTTTGCTGTGAATAAAAATCATATTTGAATATTTATATTTGCCTCTTTACTTGCTTGATATTGTTTAAATATGGAATAAAATCAATTTCTCAACCTAATTTCACTAAATTCAGATGAAGAGTCATCTGTTGGTGGTTTTTGTGTCATTTTTCTAATATTTAAAGTCAAAAACAAACATGTTTGTGGAGAAAAGATCACGTTTCAGCAGCCTGCAGGAGGGAAACCAGCCTCTGTGAATAAAATGTAACGTGTTATTCAGAGAGCGGAGGGCTTAAAGTGTCCGTCGGGTCTTGAAGTTCTCGCCCAGTAACACCGTTAACCCTTTAATCCAATCAGAGGCTTGTTCAACGGCTCAGACTGGTTCAGTGACAGCCACCACTTTGCTTTTTGTATGTTGTTCGACACAAAAACAAAAACAGATTTAAAACGTCTGTACATTTGTTTATTTACAGCATAAAAACGGAAACGTTTCCAAACTGAAACAGATGCTGTTAATCTCATAACTGATGTGACGTCATTATTCAACTCAACTGAACTTCAACATCAGTATTAGGAAGAAAAAAAAAAAAAAAATTTTGTAAATATTTTCATTTAAAAAGAATTTAAAAATAAACAAACTGTACAATTTCTCAGCAAAAACGAGAATAAAAGTATAAATCGTCGGTTCATGTGTTCAACTTAAAAAGTGAAAATAATAAATATGTGCTCAGGAGGGGAGGCCTGCAGCCAGGATGCTGCCCAGCAGAGTTCGATCCTTCAGAGCGTTTTCAACGTCCTTCTCTTCGATCTTCAGGAACACCTGCAGCAACAAAAACACACATTTCAGATTAAAGCCTCAACGTTTTATAGGAAACTCAGTTTGTAGAAAGTTTGCAGTAAAAGTCACTTTTTTAAAAAGGTACCGACGTCAAGAAAACTCCAGACTCGAATGATTTATTACAACTAAATGTTAATATAAGTGTTAATTTCTTTATATATACACACAGTAATCAATGAGTTTCTCACATCCTGTCCTGGAAATGTATTAAAATCCCCAAATATCCTGGACTCAGATTACTTAAACCTGGCTGTGCGTTCTGTTGGTATAAACAAACGGTGCGACGCTTCAAACTCCAACGTGGAGGGTCCCATAAACCCTAACTTTGTATGTTTTCAACATGATTAATTAATGTTTGATCAAACATAATTTATGCATATTCTTAACAGTAATAAAGATTTTCCCAAATTTAAAAGACAGATCAAAACCTTTGCGAATCTGTCTCATTTACTGCTGAACAAGTTTCAGTCTATATGCGTTGTGTCGTGTAAATTATCACTAGTTTCAGTCACAAAAGAAGACATCAAAGTCCTCGGGGAAACTTCTGTGAGTGTTCTTCATTACAATAATGAATGTAGAGTTTCTGCTGTTTGGTTTCATTTTATGCATCCTCCCTCTTTCTATCAAAAGAAAGATCAGGCCTTAACGGACTAACGGGAGATTACCCCGTGCAATCAATAGAGAGCTGTGATGATGTTCGTACCTTCGTGAGACGAGCCTCTTTGGCTTTCTTCAGAGCGAAGATTCCTCGACTCTCCAGCAGACTGCAGAGAGACAAACACTCGCCCTGACCGACTGCAGACACCTGCCTCTGAGCGCACAGGCGGCTGTAAACCTCGTGGAGCTGAAACACAAAAAAACAGATTCCCACCAGTTACATTCAGGTTTTATTGAGCTTCAGCGCCGCCTGCTGGACGGCAGCAACTTCAGTTCACACCGAAATCATTTGACTGGCTCTGAGAGTGTAGACAGCTCACAGGATGAGTTTATCTGCTACTTTACATTATTTCTTGATTTTAAGGCATGTAGGAAAACTATACAAGTTATATGTAAGAATCCTGCATTAATAAAGTGTGTAGTTATAACCAACAACCAAAGAGCTAATAAAACAGTCAGGGAGAAGAAAACACTGAATTTGTCATAAAAAAAGCCTATTAAATCTGTATACTTGTTAAAAAGTATAAAGAAAATACAGAATTGTATAAAAAGTTCCTAAAAATATCAGGAAAACTCATCTCTGATCAATATTAACTGGAAATAATGGTCTTAAAATTCATCCAAAAAGCTACTTTTACACAAACTTCCTGCAGTTATTGAGTTCACTGTTTACAGTTCATCAGTTGTTTGCTATTGTTATTGTTTACACATCGAATGTGATATGAAATATCCATTAAATAATTTCATTTCAGTAAATTCATTTACTGGTGGAAATAGCAGCTTTTAGTCCTATTCTTACAGGTTATTAAATATCAGCTGGTGTGTTTGGCTTTGATGCTGCCAGCACTCGACTCCTGCTCAGCATCATCAGACTCAGTCTTTGGTTCAGACAGTCACCACGTAAACAACCAGTTCGGTGCGTCTCACCTTTCCGAGGACGATCTCTTTGCTCTTCCCGTTGCGAATGAGCAGCAGCAGGCAGCAGACCAGCAGCTTCTGCTGCAGGGGGAAGCTCTCTCCATCAGATCCACCGCCGCACTGAGACGCCATCCGGTCGCCGTACACCTCCGACAGCACCCGCGCCACCTGGGGGAGGCTGACCCGCGACGCTGCACGCACCCGAGGACAAGAAGAGTTAGAGTTGGTCGAGTCGGAGACAAAAATCAGAGAGTGAATGGAGGACGGGGCAGCGCTCACCTTTAGATTCAGGACCTGATGTTTTCTTCCTCTCGTCAGACTCCACAACCTCGACCGCTCTCCTGAAGATAAAACAAAATTAATCTCAAATCCAAAACTCAGACCAACTGTTCGCACTCATATCTGTAGCAAACTGTACGCCAACATTGTTCAGCTGAAGTAGAAGCAGTTCGTATCCACGGACGCTTAAAACCGTCGTCACACAAAGAAACATTTGCTGAAACAATATGGCCGTTGATCTCGTACCTGCAGATGTCCAGAGCTTTCCTGGCGTCTCCCGACACCGCCGACACTTTCCTGGCACAGAACTGAACCGCCGAGGCGTCCATGATCCCCTCGGCCGACGCCGAAGCGAGTCTGTCCTGTACGATGGCGGTGAGCTCCTGACGGCTGTAGGGAGGGAAGTTTAGGAGCAGGGGGCGACAGTGAGGGCGAGCCTGCAGTCGGGGCAGGATGCGGTCGGTCAGATCCAGAGCGTTGGCGATACCTGCGGGAACAACGACCACGTCAGAGTCAGTCAGCAACAGATGAGTTATTCACTTATTAACAATGAGTGAAAGAGCAAGGACACAAACAAATGAGACGACAGGAAGGTTTCATTTCAAATATTAAAAGATGTTTTAGTCTATATCAGTGATTCTCTCGATGAAACACCAGATTATGGTAAAGTAAAAAGTATTTTTTTTAAAGGACTGTCTTCGAATTCGAGTCCGTTTATACCCTTGAAAACAAAAGTCTTCCACTAATGTACTAAATCAAATCATTGCAGTCCCACTTTTAATGTTTTTCCTCTTTGGAAATTGTATTTCCATTTAGTCAGAATTACCTTAAAAACATTTTCACAAATACTGAAAATAAACAATATTTACTTGTTATTGTCTTTCCCGTGACCTCAACTATTGACAGATTAACAAACATACAAAATACAGCTGTTACTCCTGCTGTAGTGTGTGTGTGTGTGTAGCTCTTACCGACGAGACAGAGGCGAGACTTTGGCAGGTACGGCCATTCAAAGATGGTGTAGAGGACGTCCTGAGATTTACTGTCCAGCTGGTCCATCTCATCCAGAACGAGAAGCCTGAGGAGGAAAGACGGACAGTCAGAATGTCTCAGGTCTGAAACAGGTTTTCAACCCCAGAAAAGACAACA